TTTGTCAATTAAACGTGGTTTTATTCTCGTTCAAGTCCTTATTATTGTACAAACTTGAGATCTTCTTTAAAATGTCCTTACTTTACTTCAAAATTCACTTATATGTATGTGCGAAACGTGACCTACCTGTTTTACTTGATTTCAAAACCTTGAATGGGTTTGGAAGGATCCTCCTACAGAGCCTTGTGCTCACCCCCCTACTTCCCCACCTTTCAGATTTTGCCTTTGACGAGGAGCTGGGAGTCGAGGGGCCGACACATTTGGAGACTCCGATAGAAGGGAGCGTGGATCCCGAGGTGGATGCTTAGAGCGACCCCCCTTTCTTTTGTTATAGACTTGGATAATCTTTTGGGAGAATTGTATAGCCTAGTTTTTATTTTATAAATTCCGCTGTGTATTATAGTACTTTTGTGGGAATGTAAAGGCCATAACTTGGCCTATTCTTTTGGGATAACATGTAAATTGGATGGATTGATTTTATGGTAGTTAAATAGACCTAGTGTGGTCATTACAATAGAATTGCATAGGTTATGTTTTGGGTAGAGCTCCCCGAACAGAGGAGACTCTGCCCAAATTTTGTTAAAATATGAATGATAGATGAATGAAACTTTCGTCATGATGGATTTACTTAATGCTCTCATGCGGTGAATGGTTTTTAGAATGTAATGTCATCCAAGAGGATTTTTGGGGCGTTACATAAGTTCCACATAGCTATCGATAAAGGCGCCTGCCACAACCCTCTCAGCAACATCCCTCCTCTTTTCCATCTCAATGAAGTGAGCCTCTACTCTAGTAGCTCTCTTAAGAGCTACTCGAAGGTCAACCTCTACCATGAAAACCTTCTCCAGAGCTATCCGTAGCTTGTCCACAACTCCGGCAGCCCTCTCACAGGACGTCTGCAGCTTTGTCTCTGCTCTTGCGCAGGCAGTATCCATGTTAGCCTGTAGTTAGGTGGCCCTCTCACGGGACACTAGAATCTCGATCTCAAGGTGTGCAGCTCTCTCTTGGGCAACAGCCTCTTAAGCCCCAACTACTGCTTAGCAGCTCCTCATGCCTGCCTCTTGCGGTCAGATCTTGGAATGCCTTTTCAAGCTTCATCGCACTTGAAAAAAGGCAAGGAAAAGCGACAGCCACCTACAAACATTCAAAATGCAGAACAAGAAAGAAAACAACCAGACACAGGATCAAAGCTAAATAAAAGTCATACCATAGCAAAGCCCTCCATAACAGTTTCAATGATACCTTCTGGACCTCAAGAGCCAACCTCTTTGACCTCCGCAGCGGTCACAAACCCCCAAAGTCGCTATTTGGCTAGATTCACATCCGACAACATGGATATTGAACCACTACTAGAAGCAAGGCAGCTAAATGGAGCTTCAGTCCTTGTAGGAGACCACACTGGGGCCTCAATCCCTATAGCCGTACTAGGGCTAGCTCTGGAATGTGATGGAGTCGCAGCCGGGGAAGGAGTGTGGGCATCACAAGGTCTCACCTCTCAAGAACCAACCTGGCCAACAGAGCTCGGCTGGGAAGCACTAGGGGCATTAGACTTCACCAGGAAGGAAGGGAAGCTGCCACCCTAGAAGCATAAAGAGCCTCCATTATTGCTCTATCAATAGTAGAACTTGTGGAATTGGTGTAAGGCAAAGAATCTACAGTGCTACAATCAGCAAAAGTTGATTGGAAGATCAAATACCTTTCCTCTTCTACCTAGGAGAGGCTCTGGGATGACCCGATGCAGACATGATAACTAAAAACTCCTTGAAAAGATGATCTTGCACGACATAAATCGTACTGTCCTACTCTAGAGATAATGTGGGGGGAGTTGCAAAGAAATCAAATGAGCAATAAGTATAGGGACCTGACAATCAGACTTAAAAGTGAAGGTAAAAACCCTTACCTAGCTTGGTCCGTGGAGCAGTGTCCCACCTCAAAGGCACTAGGTCACGATCTCTCTCGGCGGCCCACTCATCTCTATCAAAGAAGAACCTAGACTTCCAACTATGGCAATTCGAGGGTAGTCCAGTAATAAACTTGCCCAACCTCGGGGCACCGTTGGTGAGGAGTAGGGTTATCTTGAAGCATGTACGAGGCCAAAAAATCCTCAAAAGGAGGAGGGACGCTAATACCATAGACTAACCTCCATAATGAGAAGAATGCCAAAATCACCCTCCAACCGTTGAGAGTCAACCTCCTTGGAGCTAGTGAGGTTCCCAAGATTCAACAGATGGGTTTGAGTATGGGAAATCTTAACCCCGCCTCTAGGATGTCCTCATAAAAGATGATCTCTCCTGATGAATTATAACACGCTGGTTCTTCCTCCTCCGATTAGCGACATAGGACAATAGGTGGAATACGAAACTCGAAAACAATGTGAGTGATATCATCATGACAGTCAATTAAGCTAAAAATGGAGGATACCTTCAAGTCGTCACTGTTAGCAGTTCCCTTGATTCGCCATGAATCAGTTGTAGTACCCTTCTTCACGCAATTGTTAGGGTGGGCGCCTGCCTATGTTGAGACAAAGTCGAAGAGTTAGTGTCAAGGAAAAGACAAAACGACTAAGGGGGTGAGAGGCAAGAAAAATCATCTTACTTAGACAAAGAGTTTCATTCCCTCCCACTCTGGCAAAGCCCATGCGGTTGCCTTCGCTATTTGACACACCAATTTGCTGGCTTCCACTAACACCAAAGAACTACCTGCCTGAACCTAGGTGACTCACCATTTTCGCTCACACTTCCTCCTCTGGCGTCCGAAGCCTGCCCTACACTAAAGGCGACACCTCATCGCTAGAAATCGCCATCAATATCGCCCATAGTGTCAACACTGCCCAGGCCACTGTCAACATCCCTTAGGGCCTTGCCCAAGTCGTTTGTCACTCCAATGGCATCGTTGAGACTGTTTCTGGTGCTATGCTTGTTGCCCAGGCTATCCGTGGAGTTGGCGCCACCTTTTCCTAGGCCCAAGTCGCACAGAACAGTGCTCCTCGTACCTCTCCCGACACCGCCCAATAGTGTTATATGCCTAACATTGTCACTACCAGGGTGTTGCCTATCACTTCGCGGCTCTGATTGCCATCGAGAATTCCTCCACTCAGCTGGCACTGCCATTTGTCATTGTAGGCTTCTGGCACAAGTTGTGCAAGTTGCTGCTCATTGTCTAAGTAGCTTCGGCGTCGCTTGTTTGGGCTGGCCTTACGTCACCTGCCTGGGCTGGCCTTGCGTCGCCTACCTGGGCTACTTTGGCATCTCCCATCACGAAAGCATCATCCCAGGTAATAACAACGTCCAAGGTGTCATCTCTGTCCCCCTCTTCATCAACGCCCTATGTTCGGCCTCTATGGTCAAAATCCTTGAAAACTTAAGCGTCACTCACACCGATAGAAGTCGATCTGGCATCGCCCCTTGGCTAGGTTGCTTCATCGTCACCTCCATGGGAAGATCTAGCATTGTTCGTCGCAACGGCTTCAGTAACTGGGTTCCAAATTGAAGTGGGGCGTCGCCTAGTGCTTGGGTCAACTCACTGATAACGTCCAGTGCCCAGTGCCTAGGCCCAGGCTATCCGTGGAGTTGGCGCCACCTTTTCCTAGGCCCAAGTCGCACAGAACAATGCTCCTCGTACCTCTCCTGACACCGCCCAATAGTGCTATATGCCTGGCATTGTCACTACCAGGGTGTTGCCTATCAATTCGCGACTCTAATTGCCACCAAGAATTTCTCCACTCAGCTGGCACTACCATTTGTCATTGTAGGCTTTCGGCACAAGTTGTGCAAGGTGCTGCTCATTGTCTGAGCAGCTTCGGCGTCGCCTGTCTGGACTGGCCTTGCGTCACCTGCCTTGGCTGCCCTTGCGTCGCCTACCTTGGCTACTTTGGCATCTCCGATCACGAAAGCATCATCCCAGGTAAATAACAACGTCCAAGGTGTCATCTCTGTCCCCCTCTTCATCGACGCCCTATGTTCGGCCTCTATGGTCAAAATCCTTGAAAACTCTAGCGTCACTCACACCGATAGAAGCCGATCTGGCATCGCCCCTTGGCTAGGTTGCTTCATCGTCGCCTCCATGGGAAGATCTAGCATTGTTCGTCTCAACGGCTTCGGTAACTGGGTTCCAAATTGAAGTGGGGCGTCGCCCAGTGCTTGGGTCAACTTGTCTACTTTGATGGCACTGCCTACTCCTACGTTGCCTTGGCCCACACCTCTCATTTCCTCTTCATTGTTGAACTCTCTCAAGAAACTTTGTCCTTTAAAGCCCTTTTCTTCAAATATTTCCCCATCTTCAAGAGGCTTCAAACTCTTTAAAAAAGAAAGTCACAAGAAAAAGGCCCCCTCCACCTTTTGCCTATTCAAAGCTCACTCATACCCTCAACCCCTTTTGTCATGGTTGGGGCTTGAGGGAAAATGATGAACCTATGTCTAACTAGGTCAGGCTCAATTAATTAAGCTCAAATTAGCTCTGAGGTAGATCAAGCCCAGCTTATGGATTTGACCTAGTCCAAAGTTCAAGGAGTCCAGAAGGATTAGTGCATGGGTGAAGTAATTACCCGGATAGCCACTCTTAGTGATCAACACTATTTTTAGTTGTACCTATCCTAGTTATAGCTATCATCCCCGATAAACTAGTACATTTACCCTCAAGTCACCGTCTTTAACAAAGGCTCAGTGCCTATAAATTGTAAGTTCTCTCCACATAGAAAGGCATCTCTCAGCACAACCTTCACTCAACTATCTCTCTCATAGCTATCCAACCTCTTCTAGAGCTTACCTTTACTCTTTCCTCCACCATCTACTTTATTAGTAAAGATCTCCGACCACCATAACCGCCTTCAAAATGGAGTAGGTTATCTTGACCAAACTACTATATATCTGTGTGTTCACCCAATCTTTGTCTCCTTCATTAATTGCTTTATTGATTATCTCATTAATTATTCAGTGTCATACACTCAACTATTGATTTTGCATAAATCTATTTTGTGCATCATTAAGGAGGTTCACATTTTTAAGGGAGAATTACAATCAAATCTCTTGAAGTTTATCACTGAATTACACAGACCACTTAATATTTAAAATATTATACACATACCCTTTGAGGTTTGTACGCATGTAATACTTAGATCCTGCAGTTAATGTCCCTTTAGTATATTCATTAGTAAATTACACTCAAATCCCTTGAAGCTTGTAGATGTGTAATACTTAGGCCTCTTAAGTTTAAAATGTTATATTTAAACCAAAAACACATCAATCAAAAATATTATATCAAATATTTTGAATTTAACAATCAAATTCATGTTTTATTATGACGTTTATTGAAATAAAAACAAAAATATAAATCAAATTTTTTCTAAAAAAATTATAATTAGTATACTATAATATAATTATAATATTTATTGGAATTTAATTTGATCGTTTAAATCTCCAAATTAAACTACCAAATTACCCTAATTAAAGTTAGAAGATATTCTATTCATTACAGTTTGGCCACTTGTTTGATTTTTTAGTTTTATTCCAATAGATAATATAATTATATACTAATTCTGATTTTTTAAGAAAAAATTAGATTTTTATTTTTAATTTTATTTCAATAAATGACATAATAGAACATGAATTTTGGTTGTAAAATTCATGTTCAATTATGAATGATTTAGATCTTTTGCTTATTTTTTAGTGTTATCCGAATAGATAATATAATTATATACTAAATTACTATTTTTTAAGGAAAAATTTAGATTTTTATTTAAAAAAATGATACAATAGAACATGAATTTTGATTATAAAATTTAAAATATTTGATATTTTATCTTTGATTGGAATATTTTTGATTTAAGTATAATATTTTAAACTTGAAGGGTCTAAGTATTATATGCTTACAAACTTCAGGGGGCTTAGATATAATTTACTAACGGATATTGATAGCAGGAGTCTAAGTGTTATGCACATACAAACTTCAGGGATCTATGTGTAATATTTTAAATATTATGAGATTTGAGTGATCGAGTGACAAATCTCATGGGATCTGGATATAATTCTCTCTATTTCTAATTATTTCATGAGCAAAAATTGTCTTGATTATGTGTTTTTGTTTTTTGTGATTGTTATGAGAATTTTAGATATTCGTAATAATCCATAAGTTTTATGCATGATATCAATTAAGAGTATTTTCAATAGGCTCTCTATTTTCACTTAGGCGGCCCAACATATGTGAGAGTTCTAGGTGAAAAATGTTAAATTAGACACTATAAATATTAATTATACATATTTAATTTTTTTTATTTTTTCTTTTTGAGATTCAAAAATATTAATTGAATTTTGTACATTAAAATTTCATGAAAAAAAGTCGAATTATTGATTAAATGTGATTAAGATAGTTATCTATTGAAGATATAGAGAAATAAAATAAAAATTTAGACGAGCTAACAAAAAAAAATTGGAATAAATATAAAAGTTAAAATTTGTATGAGTTTATTGGCCTTGGAATATATGAAGCATGCTTTAATATTGTCGAGAAGTAAAGTGATGCTTTAATAAGAAAAATTTAGCAAGACAACTATGTTAAAATTAGTTGCAAAAAGTGAGATACTTCTATTCACTTTGTTCTATAGTCCTTTTGTGCGCTTTAAAAAATAAGTGAGCAAAAATCTATCATAAATTAAAAGTAAACTTAAATTTAATCTAAAAACTATTAGTTGATGGACAATAAGTTAGACAGTCGACTTACATAATAAGATAGAAAAATATGATATTAAGTTTTTTTCGTATACCATAAACATTGGATAAGATAAAAAAACATTATGTTGAACTTTAGAACTCTAAATTTTTTTGTAAGAAGTTCTAAAAGTTTTACAATAATATTACTTGTATTTAATATGAGGACCTAATTTGGACACCTAATGTATTGTGATTATTCCATTGTTAGTGGATTCAATGTTAACTCCTACTATTAATTCAATGGTTAAAATGCATTATATTAAGTTCTGAAAGTAAGTACAACAATTGAGTATAGTAATATTTTATACAATTGTTTTTAGGAGCCCCAAAATTTTCTTCCCATCTTGGGGCCTGGGCAATGCCTTAATGGCCTAATGCATGGGCTGCCACTTTTTTCACTCAATTCTTTATTATAGAGACCATTTAAAAATTCTTTTCTAATAGACTCTTTATTTACTATTATTATTTTTTATTTGGAACGATAAAATCTTATTCAATCTCGAATAACTGAGACAAGGAGTGACATTAGAAACTCAGGTGCACACACTCATGCCATACAATGTAATCTTCTATATAACTAGTATGCTTAGCTAAACTATGAGCCACCCGATTTCCAGATCTGCACATTGTGCTCAGCTTTATCGACCTAAACTTTTGTAATTCTTGCTAAAAATCTGCCAAAATAGGTCCCAAGTTAATTGGTTCAATCCGCCGAGTACCCAACACCTAAAAAGTCCTTGCTGACTCTCCCTCTAAAATAATTTCATCAACCCCTTGTTGCTCTGCGAAAATAATGGCTTCCATCACCACAGTTGTTCCTCCCTGTTGGCATGAACTCGTTACCTGTAGCTTTTTTGATAAACCCGTAACAAATCCTCCGTTCCCGTCTCTAATACTATTCCCACTCCCAACAATTGATCCAATTCCAAAACTTCTCCACAAAAGTTTACCAAGCCTAAACATCGGCGTCTCTAGCGAAGCTTGCATACTGGCTAAGAATAAGAAATCGTAGGTGCTTTGGTCTGGTACAGTCGCCTAGTATAATTCAGGGTAGCTTGTGTAATTTCGGCAGGATTTTTTGAGATCACCGACTGAACCATTTCGTTCCGATGTCGCCAAATCATACATAATTATACCCAGAAAAGAACAAAATCGTGATCATCTTCTTTTAACATCTGATTGATCCCTCTCAACCACCATAAAAGATTCATATTTGGCTTATGAACAATTCTGTGGATAAGGCTAAGCCGCCAAGATAGTTTTGCCCAATAGCATTCATGTCGTATGTGTGTCTCTGTTTCAACATCTCTATGGCAAACATTACAGAAGTTGTTTGACCTAATGTTCCTTATCATTGGTGGGCAGAGCATTTAAACAAAACTGCCATATAAAAATCTGAATCTTATTTGGAATTTTTGAGTCCAAATAAAATTCCAGCTATGATCTCCCACTTCCCTCGGTATCCTTCGTCTCTTTTCAAATGAGGTGCTTAGTTTTTGCTCCATTATTAAACGGTATGCACTCCAGACTGAAAACAACCCATTTGTTGTATATTGCCGGATTAGTTTAACCCTTATATGGGTATCATTTAGAGGAATCTCGTTGATAGTTGCTGCTTTGTGAGGAAGAAAAATATCCTCCACCATTTGTGACCTCCACCTCCCAGATCCGACATCAAAGAGGGCGTTAACTCTGGCGTCAATATCCAAAGTATTAATCGGAGTTTCAAGCTTGAAGGTTCCTAAAGTGGGTACCCATCTGTCATGCCAAATCTTAATCCTCGTACCATCACCTATATGCCACCTAAAGCCTGCCTCAATAACCTTATGCGCCTCCAGAGTACTTTGCCATGTATAAGGACTGTAGCCCAGCTTGACTTCCATGAAAGATGTAGGAGAGAAATATCTTACTTTTAGGATCTTATGGAGCAAAGTATGGGTTTCACTACGAATTCACCATTCCTGTTTTGCTAAAAGTGCCAAATTGAAAGCCCTTAGGTCCTGGAAACACATACCTCCATTGGATTTGTTCAAACTCATCTTCTTCCAGCTAACCCAGTGCATTCTCCTCTCGCCATTTTCCGATCCCCATAAAAAATTTGCCGTTATTGATTCCAACTTGGCACACAAATAGCCTGGCATACTGCCTTAATTAGAACCTTTTACCTGCCTTGGAAAGTACCTGCTCCTTCCACCCTCGTAGTTTTCTCCATATTCGTTCCTTAATGTTCCCAAAAATCTTTTTCTTTGATTTCCCAATGATCGTGGGTAGCCGTAGATATTTGTCGTGCTGCTGTTCCTGGTTTACCCCTAAGATTTCTTGCAACTCGGTGACTAAACCAACAGAGACATTTTTGCTACAAACCATAGTTGATTTCTCATGATTTTTTTTCCCAAATGCTAGTTCATATATTTGTAAGATCCTTTGCAATGCTCTCACCTCCGAGGTGGTGGCCTTCAGAAAAAGTAAGATATCACCGGCGAAGAACAAGTGTGATATCCTTGGGCAGCCCCTTCTAATTGAAACTCCTATGATCTAGCCATCTCTCTGGGCAGTGGTTACTAAGATTGAAATACCTTCTGCGCATAGGA